TGGTAGAGCGCTAGCCTTGAGCTGAAGAGCTGAGGGACAGCGCCCAGGCCCAGAGTTCAGGCTCCACGACTGGACCCAAAAAAAAAAAAAAAAAACCAACCACAAATAAAGCGTTTAAAGCAAAATATACTTTTTCTCGTTTTCACCTTGATTTATCATATAGACAAATCCAGCCTGTTCCTAATAGTTAACAAGGCCAGAAAATTATGGTATTGACTAGTAAATGGATGGATATTTCTGTATGAAATATATACACATCAGCCAGATGTGATAGGTGTTATGTGTAAAATATGAGCCATAACTAGTGTTTGTGTTTCTTTAGATGGGTAGCATATGAAAATCCTGACTTCACAGGAGAGCAGTATGTTCTGGATAAAGGTCTTTACACCAGTTTTGAGGACTGGGGAGGAAAAAATTGTAAGATCTCTTCTGTCCAGCCCATATGTTTGGTAAGGAGTTAATTTTCATATGAGAATACTACAGTGAAACCAGGATTTCCTTTATGTGTTTCTGGTTCATGTAATCTTGATTGCTACAGAAAATATTCTGAAGTGATCCTTAGCAGAACTTACTAATGATATGGAAGAAAAACTTTTCAACATACCCTATTCATTTTGTTTTCTTTAATTTTAGGATTCTTTTGCTGGCCCACGGAGACGAAATCAGGTAATTTTTAAAAGGAATCTGTAAGCTCACTGCCAGTAACTCACATCTGTAATCATTGCTACTGAAGAAGCTGAGATCTGAGAGTCCATGGTTCAAAGCCAGACTGGGCAGCAAAGACCATGAGACTCTTTTCTCCAATTAACCACTAGAAAACTGGAAGTGGCATTGTGGCTCAAAGTGGTAGCATGCTAGCCTTGAGCAAAAAGCTCAGGGACCCAGCCCAGGCCCTGAGTTCAAGTCCCATAACCAACAACAACAACAAAAATAAATAAATAAAAATAAGAATCAGCATTTTATAATCTAGGGCCTCCTGTTAAAAAAACTGAATTCACATATGTGTAAAGTATCAATTATTTGGGACATTTTAGTTGTTAGTTTTACCCATTTTTATGTTCCAAAACATAATTGAATTTAAAAAATAAGATAAATTGGGCTGGGAAGGTGGCTCAGTGGTAGAGCGCTTGCCTTGCATACCTGAGGCCCTGGGTTCGATTCCTCAGCACCACATAAGAAAAAAGCCGGAAGTAGCACTATGGCTCAAGTGGTAGAGCACTAGCCTTGAACTGAAGAGCTGAGGGACAGCACCCAGGCCCAGAGTTCAGGCCCTACAACTGGACCCAAAAAAATAAATAAATAAAATTAAGATAAATTAAGCTCTAATTCTTAATTGATAACATTAACCCAAGTACTGTATATAAGGTATATACAAGTACTGTATATAAAGCAAAACTTTATATCAGAACATTGAATCAGAGTTTACATTAGTATACTAAGAAATTCCAAGCAATGACATAATTATGATAAATAGTAGCATTAGTTTTCAGATTTGCTGTGTCTGCATTAGACAGACATTTTATATAGTCTCACGCAAGCCTTTTGGTTGCTGACTCTGAAATCATCTGGAGTATTCCATTTGTTAGGTAGATTTTTTTAATGGAAGTGTTCAGACAGCCATAATTATAAAGGCACAAATATCAGCATAGCTGCCTTTATTGGCCTGTATATGATTTTGATAAATCAGCAAGTATCTTCCATGGAGAGGAAAGAAAACTATATTACAAGGTTCCAAAATACAGTTTATTATTCATGTTAGACCTGATGAACAATTAGTTTTGGCCACAAGAAAGCTTCGTAACGCCTCACAGTTAACAACAGGGTGTGCTATAGAAAGTCACCTCTATTGTTGGGTTTCCTTTGAGGTCTCAACTAAATCTCCTTACATGGCTCAGCCACCATGTTTCTAATTGATCATTAATGATGAAGTAAAAACTTAAAGGATATATAAAATTCACACCTGCTTATTGTAACAAGAATTAGCATGTCAGGTTTGGGTTATCATTTCAAAAGTTGAGTTTTGGCATGTTTCAGAGAATAATTTTGTGTGTTTCTGCTTACTTTTTCAAAGGTTCACTTGTTTTCAGAACCACAGTTTCAAGGTCAAAGTCAAAGTTTTGAAGAGACTACAAGTCAAATTGATGATTCATTTTCAACTAAGTCTTGCAGAATTTTGGGAGGCAGGTAAGCAAACAGTGGTGTGTCAGAGCCAGATTGCAGGAGTAAAGGGGGTAGAGTTCACACATCAACAAGTACTTGGTAACACCTGCTAGGGGCATGGCACCACATGAAGCCAAGCTACTCCGCCGTGTGTGTGTGTGTGTGTGTGTGTGTGTG